GTCTCCCATGGAGTAGCTGGTGGGTTTGAACCACTGACATTTCAGTAAGCAGTAGCCACTGCACCACCAGGGCTGTTTTCAGCCTAGCACAGAACTGGCAGTTTGAAAGGACTTCATAAAATCTAGAAACGAGTTTCTGTTTTTGCTGTTATTTCCAGCTTTCTACCAAGTGTTATTTTGTGCCCACAACACCTTCACTGAATGAAAGAAAGAGAGAAATAAAGGAGTATGCCAAATCCATAGAGATCTCAGTTCAGTTATTGCCTGATATCAGAGTATCAGTAAATATCATTAAAATGATGGCTTCATCAAAGTGTAGCATGATATAAATAGCTTCTACAAAGGCTTTGTGCAATTCAGGAAGAAACTGGTATAAGGATAAATAGGATTTTAACTGAAAATAGCTCTGTTGTTGTTGTTATGTGTCATGAAGCCTGTATAGGGTTTCTGAGGAACAGCCGATGCATTTGAAACACTGATGTTGTGGTTGGCAGTTCAACACTTACCTTACAGCACCATACCAGAACTCCCTTAGTCCTATTGTTGTTCAGTGAGATTGCATTGGTTTCTGCTCATAGCAATGCTGTATAGGATTTCTAAGAAATGACTGGTAGATTTGAACTAAAGACCTAGTGGTTAGCAATCCAGTGCTTATCCTACCAGGATCCCTCCTCCTTTATCCAGAAACATAAAAATAAGCTGTGGATTGCATAAAAGAAACCTAGATTCACCTAACCACTTAACTAACATTCGTCAATAGTTTTATTTTTTAGCACTTCTGATCAAGGCAAAAATAATCTACAAAAGCCTATAATTAGAGTTCAGAACTAGAGTGTATGGGATCACATATGTTGTATTCCTCTATCTTGTCTATGGCTGCTAGACTTTCTTCAGTAATCTTAAAGTTATAAGCAGAATCACTGTGCTAGTTACTCCCTGTGAACTCGGACCATATTCGTTTTCCTCCCTCCTCTGCTTTGTGCCAGGGAAAGCCTCATTTCCCTGGCTTCCTTGCTGACTGTTTTCCAGTTATATTGTCTTCTACTTTAATTAAAGTAGAAGGAGACTAAGATGGAGGCTTAGTTATCTAGTACTGTTATAACAGAAATACCACAAGTGGTTGACTTAAACAAATAGAAATTTATACTCTCACAGTTTTGCAGGCTAGAAGTCCTAATTCAGAGTGCCAGCACACCACTTCTGTAACTTCTTTTTTGATAGTGTTGTTGTTGTTGTCAGGTGCCATTGAGTCAGAACCAACTCATAGCGACCCCATGCACAGCAGAACGAAACAATGTCCGATCCTGGGCCAACCTCACTACCGCTGCCACACTTGAGTCCATCAATGATGCCACCTGGCAGATCCATCTTGTTGTGGGTCTTCCTCTTTTTCTCTGACCCTCCATCTTACCCAGCATGACATCCTTCTCCCACGACTGTTCCCTCCTGACAATATGTCCAAAGTATGAGAGATGAAGTTTAACCATCTTGGCCTCCAAGGAGCACTCTGTCTACATTTCTTCCAAAACAGACCTATTGGTTCTTTTGGCAGTCCATGGCACTTTTAGTATTCTCCTCCAACACCACAATTCAAAGGCATCAATTCTTCTACGATCTTCCTTATTCACTGTCCAGCTTTCGCATCCATATGACCGTACTAAAAATACCATGGCTTGGGTCAGGCACATTTTAGTCTTCAAGGTGACATCTCTGCTCTTCAACACTTTAAAAAGTTCCTGTGCAGCAGATTTGCCTAATACAATACATCGTCTGATCTCTTGACTGCTGCTTCCACGAATGTTGATAGTTGATCCAAGAAGAATGAAGTCCTTGACAACTTCAATCTTTTCTCCATTGATAAGAATGTTGTTTATTGGTCCAGTGGTGATTTTTGTTTTCTTGATGTTGAGATGTAATCCATACCGAAGGCTGTGTTGATAGTAGTAGGTCCCTTTCTCCCTGCTCACTTCTCTTTTATATCTAAAGGAGATTGACTGAAAATAATACAATCTAATACTGAAGATTGCATCCAACCTCACTACCATCCTAGAAATGAGCATTTACAACACATAAGACAATTAGATCAGATCACACCATGGTTTTGATTGCATTATGTTACTTCCCATCAAGGAGGTGCTAATGACATCTTAATTGCTAACCCACTGAGAATACTAGCCCAATCAACTTGACACAAAACCTTAAGTATCACAGGATCTCTCATGTGAATTCCCTACTCCAGTGCTTTGCTGCTAGTAGATGTATCCCTCCAGGAACAGAACTTCCCAAAGATGGCAGCCTCCATAATTGGCCATTCACTAAATTCTAGAAATGCATCTTCCTCTTCTGTCCATTCAGATCAATGGGTGGAACCACTTGTGACTATCTTACCTTATTCAATTTTTTAAAAAATCTGTTCATACTCTATAATAGTATCGTAGTTGTTATGTGACCGTGCCATTAAGTTAGCTTTTCTCATTGTTGTTGTTGTTGTTGTTGGGTACCATTGAGTTAATACCAACACAAATCGACTGTATGTACAACAGAAGGAAACACTGCCCGGTCCTGGGCCAACCTCACAATTGTTGCCACACTTGAGCCCATTAATGCTGCCACTTTGCCAATGCATCTCGCTGGGGATCTTCCTCTTTTTCTCTGACCCTCCATCTTACCAAACATGATATCCTTCTCCAGTGACATGTCCTCCTGACAACATGATCAAAGTGTTAGAGATGAACTCTGGCCATCTTGGCTTCCAAGGAGCACTCTGGCTGCACTTATTCCAACACAGATCTGTTTGTTCTTTAAAGAGCCCAGGGCACATTCAATATTCTCCTCCAACACCATAATGAAAATGCATCAATTTTTCTATGATCCTCCTTATTTACTGTCCAACTTTCACATGCATATGAAGTTATTGATAATACTATGGCTTGGGTCAAGTGCACTTTAGTACTCAAGGTGACATCTTTGCTCTTCAATACTTTAAAAAGTTCTTGTTCAGCAGATTTGCCTAATGCAATACGTTGTTTTATTTCTTGACTGCTGCTTCCATGAGTGTTTATGGTTGATCCAAGAATAAAATCTGACAACATTGATGCTGTATAGGGTTTCCAAGGAGTGGCTAGTGAGTTTGATCTGCTTTCCTTGTGATTCAAACCCACCGTGAAGTCTAGTGCTGCATCCACAACCCCACATCAGAACTCCTATAATGTGTTCTGTACTTTCATTAGATTATCTTCATCCAAACTCCAGTCGTCAGTTTTGTTTTCTACCACTGACACATTATTTTTCTACAGAAAAGTGACTTAAATTGATCTAGTGTCAGTTTTTGTTTTTCTGAAAAATGGAAATAATAATAACATGTACTCTGTAGAATTGTGGCTTGTGTGTGTGATAACTAGAGATTATCATAATTATTCCTGGAAATTTTGAGATCAAATACGTTTATGTACTGAATGAGGTAAATAACAGATGAGATTAATATTTTGCAATTACAAGGAAAATCAGCTAGAAAATGAAATTAATGAGGCCCAAACTTACCTGAATTGTTTTGTTAGTATTTTTGTTGACTATTTTTGAGTCATGTCTGACTCAGCAACCCTGTGTAGGGCTTCCAGGAGCCAGCTGATGGGTTTGAACTGCTAACCTTATGACAGCAGTACAGTCCATAAACTACAGTGCTATACTAGGTATTAAGAAGCATACAATACAAAAATTTGTAGAACAAACTACCTTAACATGTTTTCTTACTAGATACTGAATATGAATGTATTCTTTTATAAATATCCACTTTCTCCTTGGAAGCCAGGATGGCCAAACTTCATCGCTCATACATAGGGCATATTTTCAGAAGGAGTCATTGATGACTAGTCTAGTAAAGTGGAGGGTTGGAGAAAAAAAGAAGACCCCCAATGACATGGATTGGTACAGAAGTGGCAGCCATGGGCTCAGATGTATCAAATATTGTGACATTGGTCCAGGACCAAGCAGCATTTTATTCTGTTGTGCCCAGGGTCACTATGAGTTGGTATCGACTCCATGGCACCTAAAAACAACAACAAGTCTCTCCATGTCATTCTATCCCTAGACTTGTTGAGTGGTATGTTTTTAATAGACATTTCTAAATGCTAGAGAAAAAAGCAATTCTAAAACTGGTGATTTCATTAAAGGCAATAAATATCAAACATACACATGATAGCCCCCACAACAAAACAAACCTACAGCCATCAAATAGATTCCAACTCAGAGCGACCCCATGCAGGGTTCCCAAGGCTGTAAATCTTTATGAGAGCAGAATGTCTCCTCTTTCTCCTCAGCAATGTCTGGTGGATTTGATCTGGTTAACAAGCATCAGTCATCTATCTATGCCAAGTAATAATAAAAAAGTTTGGCTTCATGCCTTATAAGCTTACCTCAGAACACAGATATGCGTTTCCATACTCAAATGTCAAAGGACATGGGTAGAAGAAATGGAAAATGGCCAAGAACTTGAAATAAATACTTTCTCATTTTTAGCCAACAAAGAAATGTCTACTCTTTTCAGAAATGTGAGTATTGTGTATAGAGAAGACTTATAATTAAGCTTTCATACAATAGTAATTTTAATGTAATTTTGAATTTATTTTTCCAAAATACTGATACTAGCAAAAATTTTACATAGCCTGTAGTGAATTAGCACATTCAAATGAGGCTTTACCAGTAATAATAGGGATTAATACAGAGCTAGCATTTTAACTTCAACTTCATGTTAAAGAAACTAACTACCTTTTGAAATACAGATCGGTTTTTTAAATCTAATTCTTCCTGAAAACTTTAAGAAAAAGCTTTACTGAATGAACAGTTGACATATTGATTTACTCTAAATTTTACATTTAGTAAAACAAGTATATCTATAGTAGCTCAATTAACAACAACAACAACAAAAAATCAAAAAAGAATTCTGAAAATGGCAGGCAATTAATTTTATTGTAGGCAATTATTTAAACTGCATATATGGCTTTATGCATAATAAATCATGTGAGAAAAACATCCATATTGCAGTTAGGTTTCCAGAATTTAGGTTTCCAGAATCTAGCTTTCATTTTTTGTTTGTTTTGTTTAGCAATGCCATTAATGGGATTTTGCCAGGTTATAAAAATGAGGACTTTCTAAGGAGTTATTTGTAGTTTCCAAGATGAATGGCAGAGCGCACATAGACACATCGGAAAGTGGAGGGCTGGATCTCCCAGTACTGGACAGGGTTGCTAAAAAGGCTCACACCGGAGTAAGAAGCTTTCTTGGTGTTGTATCCAGGTGGACAGAAGTCATTAGGTCCAACTGCAGCGATATTGTTGTTATGAAGATAGACAACCTGCAATATGGAACAAGGGAAAAAGATTATTTCCTCTCAGTACATGGAGAACTTTCATGTACTATACATTTTTATTAATATATTAGTATTTCTATTCCACACTTTGAGTAACTTAATACTTTTGAAACCAAACTTTTCATTTCTCTTTTTCCAAACGTGATTTTCCCTTCATTAGTCTTCCCCAACTCAATATGTGACATTTAAATCATTCCAGATGGTCAGATTTTTTTAAAAAGCCTTTGAATAATTATTTCCCCCTTCCCTTTCCTCACACTCCATATCTAACCATGAACAAGTTTTCTAAGTTCAACCTTCAAATGTATATAGAATTCAGTCTCTTCTCCCTCTGTCCACTTTTAGAACCTTGTCCAAGTCACCATAGTCTCTTGCCTAGATTATTGCAGTAGTCCTAATATTTCTTCCTGATTCTTCCTTTAGTTTCTCTTCCTAAAGGAGCTCTGGTGACATAGTGGTTATGAATCGGGCTGCTAGTTCAAAACTACCAGCAGTTCTTCGGGAGAAAGATGAGGCGTTCTGCTCCCGTAAAGATTTATAGTCTTGGAAACCCTGTGCCGGGTCACTATGAGTCAGAACCGACTCCATGGTACTTAACAACAATTTTAGTCACCAGAGTCATTATTTTATAAAGTAAATCAATTATGTTTTTCTTGCATCAATATTCCAGTAGCTTCCCATCTCACTCAGAGTCAAATTCACAGTTTTCACAGTGGCCTACAAATCCAACACGATCTGACATCCTTCTACTCTGATCTACCCTGGACTACTTGCGACTCCTACATGATTCAGCATACAATATACCAAGAAATTACTTGCTCAATATCTTACAGTCAAGACCAGAATATAATCCTGAGGTACATTTTTTTAAGTGAGTTAGTAAAGTTTGTGAGGCACACTCCCTTAACATAAAATCAAAAATACAACTGTCACCATGTTGCTTCTGACTCATAGCAAACTTATATAAGTTTTCTGAGGCTATAAATCTTCATAGGAGCAGTAAGCCTCATCTTTCTCCCACCTAACAGATGGTGGTTTTGAACTGTTAAACTTGTGGTTAGCAGTCTAATGCCAATCCTCTAGGACCACGAAGTATCTATCCCTTTAATATGGTGATGGTGGTGATGTGCCGTGGAGTTGCTTCCAACTCATAGTGACCCTGCATAGGGTTTATGAGGCATCACATCTTTATGGGAGCAGAAAGCCTCAACTTTCTCCCATGGAATGGCTGGTCATTTCAAACTGCTGACCTTGAGGTTGGTAGCCCTACTCATAACCACGATGTTACCAGAGCTTTTGTCCCTTTAATATAACTATCTCTAAATATTCTTCATCTAATGTAATAGTCATGTCTATGGTGAAAAATTCATTTTTCAAAGAACGGGATCAGAAAGAGAACAATAGATGTCATTTATAATCAGAAATGAGAGGTAGTAGAGGCAAGACAATACCAATGCAAATGTTTTATGTTTCTTAGATATTTGAAAAATTATTTACATTTCCCAACAATGATTATTAAGAAAGGGCAAGGTGATGGGTGAGAGTTTATGGCCAATATTGATGGTGATAGAAGAAAATATCAAGATACATTGCAAGTATTCATTGTCATGCAAAGGAAAGTAGATTTCAGAGATCAATACTGCCCCATTATTGAAACCAGATAACAATCACCACAAGGAAAAAAAACTATAGACCAATGTCTCTCATGAACACACAGATAGATACACAGACATTCTCAGCAAAATGTTAGTAAACAGAATTCCACGACATATAAAAGGATTATATGCCACAAAATATTAGTAATCAGAATTCCATGACATATAAAAGGATTTATTTCTGGAAAGATTATTTTAGCATGTGAAAACCAATCAATTGTCATACACTGCATTAACAGAAAAAAAGAATAAAAATCCATGTGATCATTTTAATAGGCACAAAGAAAGCTTGAAAGAACTCTAACACATACTCATATTTTTTTAAAAATCTTAGTAAAATAAGATTAGAAGGCAAATTCCTTAACTTAATAAACAGGAGCTATGCAAAACTTCAACTGACATCATATTTAGTAGTGAAAGATCTAATGGCTCCCTGTTTCTGAAACAGAGAATATGGAAAGGATGCCCAATCTAAATAATGCTCTTCTATGTCCCGGATATTGTTTGCAGTGCAACCAGGTGAGAAAAAGAAATGAATGGAACTGAGATTGGAAAAAAGAATGTGTACCTAACTCTATCTGATGTTAAGATGATCTTGAATATGGTGGTGGTGGCTATGTACCGTGGAGTCGGTTCTGACTCAAAGCAACCCTATTCTGGGTTTCCAAGGCTATAAATCGTTACGGGAGCAGAATGCCTCATCTTTCTCCTGTGAAAGAGCTGGTAGTTTTGAACTGCTGACCTTGCGGTTCGTAGCCCAATTTGTAACCACTACACTACCGGAGCTCCTATCATAAATAACAATAAAGAATATCGTTATTTGTTGTTATGTGCCGTGGAGTCGGTTCTGACTCATAGCGACCTTGCACAGGGTTTCCGAGGCTGTAAATCTTTATGGAAGCAGAAAGCCTCATCTTTCTCCCATGGAACAGCTGGTAGTTTCGAACTGCTGACCCTGAGGTTAGCAGCTCTATTCATAACCACTACGCTACCAGAGCTCCTAATAAAGAATATAGGTAACAATAAGTAATTCACAAAAAGTACCTCTCTAATAAAGAATATAGAGTAATTCACAAAAAGTACCATAACAAAAAACAAGTTCAACAAGATCTCAGAGTAGATGACACAGTGGCTGCAACAACAGGCTTGTACCTGGTGATGGTTCATTCTGTGGTATTTAGGTTTCCTGTAGGTCAAAAGTGACCCAGTTACATCCTAACAGTGTCAACATTTTATTTATTGTAAATATTAAAATTATTACATTATTGTTGTTGTTGTTGTTAGATGCCATCAAGTCGGTACTGACTCATAGTGACTAGGCACCACAGAAAAAAACACTGCCCAGTCCTGGGTCAACATCACAATTGTTGCCATGTTTGAATCCATTGCTGCTGCCACTGTGCCAATCTATCTCATTGGGGGTCTTCCTGTCTTTCTCTGATCTTCCACTTTACCAAGCATGATGTCCTTCTCTAGGGACCTGACCCTCCTGATAAAATGTCTGAAGTATGAGAGATGAAGTCTGGCCATCCTGGTTCTTGTACTTCTTCTAACACATACTGCTTTGTGCTTTATAAAATAGTTATTTTTATTCGGATATGTTCTCCCCCCCCCCCCCTTTTCTTTCTTTTCTATTCCTTCCTTTCCCTTTCTTTCTTCTTTGACTCTATTTTTTTCCATTTTGTTTTTTAAATGTTGCTAACAAATTCATTAAGTGAATTTTATGAGCCCCATAATGTGTACAGACTGATATTTCAAAATCATCTATAAAGAAGAGGAGAATGATTATTTTAAGCCACAGACAACCACAACCACAACCATCACCAACAGTAGCTAACTCTGTCAGGTCTTTAAAGTATCTTGATTTTACTTATAGCTTCAAACTGCCTACTTACCACTATACTGCCAATAACAGAGAGAAATAATCCACATGAAATAAGATACCCTTAAATCCATCTTCATTTATACAATTCATAAATTGAAATGGAAATTAGTAAATAGAAAATTTGACATATTTATTCAATTTGGTTTTAATTAAAATTTGACAGAAAATATATTAGTAGTTTCTTTACATTGTTTATAGCAAAATAAAAGATGCTTGAAACACATTCAGAGCATCTTAAATACTAGATAGATTCCCAAAGGACAACTTTATAAAATTATTTCACTTGCAAGAGAAAGTCACCATGATAGAGGCAAGTGACTATGTAAATGTCCAAAATAAACAAAATTTAAGAATGACCTTACAATCCCAAAATATTAGATAGAAAATATGAGAAATATAAAATACATTAAAGATCACACTGTTGAATTTAAAAAGTGGAATAATGTAATAATATCCTTGTTTTATTTCCTCAAAGTAACAATATAACATATTTTTATTAATATAATCATTTTCATTATCCAAATTAATAAATATAATCCTCACTTACAGATTTATGAATGTTACAATTAAACCACATCTTGCTGATTGAATCACACCGCTAGTTAAATTTTCCCTTTTGAGCTATCTGACATCTGCTAAAGCTAGAAATTTTAACCACTATTTGATTCCATTAAGGATCTCTGGTAGCGTAGTGATTACAAATCAGGCTGCGAACCTCAGGGTCAGCAGTTCGAAACTACCAGCAGTTCCGCAGGAGAAAGATGAGGCTTTCTGCTCCCATAAAGAGTTACAGCCTCGGAAACCCTGCGCAGGGTCGTTATGAGTCGGAACCGACTCCACAGCACATAACAACAAATTGGATTCCATTATCAATGTATCATATCGTAAAGAAGACTCCTTGTCCAATCACTATGCATTTGGTTCACTGATCTGTTACTTGAAGCTATCCTGCTGTTCATAAAAGATATTACAGTTTGGTAGCAAGAATTACAGTGTTCAATTTCAAACCAATGGTCCAAAACCAAAATAAGAATAAGAATTGAAACACATTTTTTCATGAAATTAAATTGAATACTGTTGTTTTGTTCTTGTTAAGTGCCACTGAGTCGGTTCTTACTGTATTGGGTTTCCAAGGAGGGCCTGGTGGGCTTGAACTGCCAACCTTAGGCTTATCTGTTGCTGCTGTTAGGTGCTGTTGAGTCAGTTCTGAGACATAGTCACCTTATAAACAGCAGAATGAATCACTGCTTGGTGTTGCCCGTCCTCTCACAATCGGTGTTGAACTTGAACTCATTGCTGTTGTCCAATATTCAATATTCTGGTTCTATCTGACAAGGTTCCACTGCGATTCATAAGGTTTTCAGTGGCCAGACTTTCAATTCTTGTAGTGTGTAGTAGGTTACGAGTTGGGCTGCTAACTGCAAGGTCAGCAGTTCAGATCTACCAGTCACTTCATGGAAGAAAGATTTAGAGCCTTAGAAACCTCATATAGGGTCGCTATGAGTTGGAACCAACTCCAAGGCATATAACTACCACCAAGCGTTCAGAAGTGGCCTGCCTCTCCTTCTTGCTAGCCTGTACTAGTCTAGAGGCTCAGTTGAAACCTGTCCACAATGGGTATATCTTGCTAGTATTTAAAATATGTAGTGGCATAGCTTCCAGCATCACAGCAACACAAAAACCATCACAGAACAACAAACTTACAGGTGAGTGGTTAGTAGTTGTTGTTGTTGTTATGTGCCACTCATCGTGACCTTGTATAGGGTTTCTGAGGAGTGGCTGATGAGTTTGAACCACCGACTTTGTGGTTCAAACCAACTTTGCAGTCTAGGGCTTCATCCCACAGTGCCACACCAGGACTCTGAATGGTTAGTACTCCAATGCTTATACTACAATGCCACACCAAGACTCTAATACTTATATATTGTTGTTGTTAAGTGCCGTTGAGTCAGTTCCAACCCATAGCGTCTCTGTATAAGGTTTCTGAATTTTTTGAACTGCCACTTTGCAGCTCAAACTAACCTTGCAGTCCAGCTCATTAACCCCATGGTGCTGCACCAGAACTCCAATATTTATGTAGAAACATCAAAATTAGGTTCTCTCTAAATAGACTTCTAAGCCAATTTTCCTGTCTTCCAGAATTCCCACTGTTTTTGCTCTGTGCCCTTGAGTCAATTCTGGCTCAGTGAACCTGCAGAGCAGAGCAGAGCTGCACTAATGAGTTCCCTAGACTGAAATTTTTATGGGAGCAGATTGCTCAGTCTTTTCTCTTCACTGTAACTGGTGGATTTCAACTGCTGACATTTAAGTTAGCAGAAGAACACTAAACCATTGCACCACCAGGTCTCCAGTAGGAAGGTTTTCTGTGCATTGTGTTTGTTTTTCTGAGTTGCTGTAGAGTCAATTCCAACTCACAGTGACCCCTTATGTGCCAAAGTAGAATTACACTCCACAGGGTTTCAATGTCTGATTTATCAAAAGTACACCATAAGACTTTTCGTATGAGGCATGTTAGTGTGGACTTAAATCTCTAACAGTTTGGTTAGCAGCCAAGTGCATTAACCCTTTTGTGCCACCCAGAGAACACCATATTTATTGGTATTGAATTACCTGGATATACTTATGTTCTGCCAATCCACCAGGCACTTTGATAAGCTTGTTGTTGTCCAAGTGGAGTTCTCTCAAATGAGGTGTGTTGGCCAGAGAACCATTATCCACAACAGAGATGCTGTTGAAACTCAATCCCAATCTGCAATAGAAAATGGCATTGAATACAGTAAGGAAAACATGTTTTTGTGTCCACGTTTTCCAGTTTCTATGAGTCATTTGTTCTTAATGTCTCAGCTCAGAATCACCTTCTTCTCTTGACACTATTTCCATGCTCTAGTAAAGCTGAAGGAACTATGTTTTAAATGTCTATATACTTGTTGGTCTCTCTATCTTGAATTTAAATTCCTTGAAAATAGTGGCAGTCTTGTGGTACATCCTGTACTAGTACTAACGCAGTGCTTGCTATTCTCAATGAGTAACTATTGAATTTAGTTCTATGTGTAATTAATATATTTCATTGAGAGAAAAATAAAAGAAATAGTATTCTCACTTAGGTCACTGTGGAAATCAAGCAATATTGTATTTATCATATAAATGTATTCACTGGAAATAAAAGTATCAGTGTTCCAATAAATCATTAAATCTGCTGCCTATTAAAAAGATTAAAGGGAATAATCATATATTGTTATTTCATTTGGAAAAGTCCCTCAGTGATGACCACTGCTTGAATTTGTCCACTGCCAATGTTGCAGGATTCTGACCCAGCCCGACTACCAAGAGCTCTGTTTCTTGGTCCCTTTGATATTTCTCTTTATTCCAATAATGCATATTCTCTACAAATTTAATTCACTTAAATTTTTGGTTCAGATATTTTTGAAATAAATGCAAAGCATTTGACAACTTTTTTACTGTCCCCTCATAAATCCCATTTTCTTCTCCTAAAATCCCATTTATGAGGGGATTTTTCTAAAATCCCCTGAGTGAAAAACAAGGTGCATAAATCCAAAATGACAGAAAGGAGATTCTAGGTATGAGGGAGGAAGGTCATGGTACAGAGCCAGAAAGCTCTGACAGAAGAAAAAGAGACAATCATTGCAGGTCATTCAAACACAGTTGGAGAGACAGACATTTTTTGAAAGATGGTTTCTACCTGCCTTAAACCAGCTCTGGTCTTTGATACCTTTTGGAATCTAGCTGGCTCCCAATTTAAACCATGATTTGGTATTTGGAATAATTGAAGTTGCAACATACAGATTCTTTACTGTTAATAATCTTGTTTCTTTTAGCTATTGATTAGTATCTTGGCTCTGGAACATTTGTCTCCTATTTTTGACAGCAGTCCAAGTCTTATCATTCAGTTCTGGAGTAATGCATTTATTAGAAGAATAGAATATCCCTAATAATATAGTCAGGAGTGTTGGTGGTGTAGGGGGTTAGATGTTGGACTGCAGTTCAAACCCACCAGTCACTCAACAGGAAAAAGAGGAAGCTTTCTGCTCCCATAAGATTTACAGCCTTGGAAATTAGTTGGAACTGACCTCTGGTAGTGTAGTGGTTACGAATCAGGCTGCAAACCTTAAGGTCAGCAGTTTGAAACTACCGGCCGCTCCACGGGAGAAAGATGAGGCTTTCTGCTCCCATAAAGATTTACAACATCGGATATCCTGTACAGGGTCGCTATGGGTCAGAACCGACTCGACAGTACTTAACAACAACAACAACATCAACAATACTATTTTCAAGGGAATTGATTATTGAGCCATTTGTTTATATAGTCAATAAACAAATGTTTTTAACAACCTACTCTGTGCATGATATTATAAGGGTAGGCATATGGATTGAAATTGCTTATCTTTTCACTGAAGAATATTTTGCTTAGTTAAGGAAATGAGGATTTCTTTACTTAAGGGAGGAAAGAAATTTGTCTGAAATCATTTTATGTTTCTGCAAAAGAGGCATATGCCATGCCTTGCCATTTGTCCCTAATTGTTGTTGTTGTTAAGTGCTATCAAGTCAGTTCTGACTCACAGCAACCCTATAGAGGGTTTCTAGGAGCACTGGTGTGTTTGAACTATCGACCTTGCAGTTAGTAGTCCTGTGCTTATCTTATAGGGCTGCACCAGGGTTCAACTGTCCCTAATAAACAATTGAATATTTGCCCTGCAACAGTGTTCTTATGTCAAAGGCTGCTTCTTTCTTTTTTTTTCACAGTTTTGATCTTCACTATCAAATGCTTGCCATGTTCCAACATCGATGAGGAGCAAACAACATAAGGATTTGATGGTTTAATAGATTTTTGTGGATTCAATTCAAAAAAGAAATGTGTTAAATAAATTATTGAATTGGGTAAGTTTGGCCAATAAGACAATCTGCTCTCATTTAATGAGAACAATCTGAATTTCTTTTGGATTTTTAAAAACTCTAATAGCTCTTCATGCTCCTATTAGCTACAGAGCACATGGCATTACTACTAGCTTGCAGAATCTCTAAAACCTCCCGACCACTTTGAGAATAAAATCAACATTTTCTAGAAAAGCTCATGTGGTATGAATGGTTTACTCAGAACTTTAGAATATTATTCATCACTAGTACTCCTGCTGTGGCATTGTGGGCTAATGCACTAGACTGCAAAGTCAGTTTGAACCACATGGTCAGTGGTTCAAGCTCACCAGCTGCTCCTTGGAAATCCTATACAGGGTCGCTGTGGGTCAGAACCAACTTAATGGCACTTAAAAACAATAACTACTACTAGTAGTACTAGTAACTGTGGTTAAGTACCGTCAAGTCAGTTTGATGCATAGCGACCCTATATGGGGTTTCCAAGGAGCAGTTGGTGGATTTGAATCACCAACCTTGTGGTTAGCAGTCCAGCACTTACTCTATAGAATCACACCAGGACCCCAGTTCTAGTAGTAATACTGTGAATAATATTCTATATAATATAATAACTGCTAGCTGTTATAGTAGTATTGTTATACCACTATTGATAATTATAATAGTACTAATAACAACCAACTTACATAATAAGCAATGCAACTACCTACCTTCATTTTCTGTGGCTACAGGGACATATTCAAGAAAGAAAGTTAGGTCATGCATATGACTAGAATTGTGAAAATGTTATCTATGTTAGTAACCATGTATCGCTAATTGAATGGTAACACGTTGTATCTATAATTAGAGGCTCAATCTCACCTTAAATCCTCAGTATCCATTAGGTCAGTGGGAAATACCCACACAAGAGGGAAAAGTCATATTATATAACAATCTGGGCTTCGTTATGTCTCAAAGACATACACATACGATTTGTATTTATTATCTACCATGAAATTTATATACTGAAAGAGGAATGAGTCAATTTGACATAAACTTTTATTTTTGTAGAAGCATTTAGCAAAACTTGTGAATCAAGATCAGGGTGTTCCTGTAAAGGCATCTGAAAAAGTTTGAGAGCACTCTCTTCTTATTATTACTTAACCAGATTTTAACTATTGTTGCTGTTGTTGTTAAGTGTCACCGAGTCGGTTCCAACTCATACAGACCCTGTATAGGGTTTCAGAAGAGCAGCTGGTGGGTGTGAACTGCCGACCTTGTGGTTCGCAGTCCAACGCTGATCCACAGTCAAAAGTTTTGTTAAAAAGCAAGATGGTGGTGGTGCCCCATGGAATTGGTTTTGACTCATAGAGACCCTATGTGGGATTTCTGAGGCTGAAAATCTTTAAGGAGAGGAAAGCTTCATCTTTCTCCCTCAGAGCGACATCAATTCGAATTGCTGACCTTAGGGTCAGCAGTCCAACTTATAACCCACTATGCTGCTAATGTTCCTAAAAAGCAAGATAGACTCTTGTTGTTGTTGTTGTTAAGTGCCTCTGAGTCAGCTCTGACCAATAGCGACCAGTATAGGGTTTCTGAGGTGCAGTTGTGAGCTTGAATTGCCAACTTGGTGGTTCAAATGACTTTGCAGTCCAGAGCATTAATGCACAGCACCACACCAAGACTCAAAAATAGACTCTAATAATCATTTAAAAAGAAAACTTTTAATGTTTTGAAAAAAGGCCAAAACATTATTTCTTGTATTGGTCTATATGAAAGGTCCAGAGACATTTCATTTTAAGCTGTACAAAGAATTAAGGGCTAGAGTAGCTCATTAGAACCATTCTGATATGATATTATGTTGTGTTCCATTGAATTGATTCCAACTAGTACTGATCTTATATAGGGTTTCCAAGGAGTGGCCGGTGGATTTGAGTCACTGACCTTGTAGTCCAGTACATATCTTGCATTACTCCACACCAGGAATATACTTTGGAAAGCCCAGCATTCTATATCCTGGTATTTTTCATTTTAATGCATTTTCAAATTATGGATGCTACATTATAACCTATTTAATCTTCTGCTTTATATAACTAAATTAGAACATATTTCCTGAACATAGATTTACTCGAACACCTTGTATGTAAGATATATTCTAATTGATCTAAAAGCAATTGGCATTTGTAAAACATGAGGTTAATCTTAGTGATTATAAATAGCTATACTATTGAGTGTTTTCCAGAAATACTGGGCAAGGTTGCAGTTTGATGTCGTTAAAATCTATAACAAATAAATGTTAAGAGCTTAAAGTCAGTTGTAATAAATGCAACAACCAGAAAGGAATAATGAGAATGTTCACACCACGTGAAAAATGTAACCGATGTTGAAGAACTCGTGTAGAAATTATTGACTGGGAACCTAAAACACTGTGTAAACATTTATCGAAGCATGATAAAGTATCACTTAAAAGTAATCAGTGGTTATGTTTTGAATTCTGAGCATGTAGATACCAATGTATCTAGCCATTGCACGACAAGAATGCCATGCAATAATAGTATTTACTTAGCCAGATTATTCAGTCCTTTCAGGCTTGCTGCATCAATTTTGGAGATTTTGTTGCCATCAAGATGTAACTCAGTAAGGGAAGCAGGAAGACCTAGAACATAGAAATACAAGATGCTAAAATATTTTTGTAGATAAACATTTTAATTATAGAATTTATAAGGACTTAGTGAGAACCTACACCATAAGTTTTCTTAAAGATACATGGTTTTAAAGAATTGGTTTGAGTTTTTTCTCTCTTATTTTTAATGATAATGTAAACTTTTTAAAGTAGTGTGTGTCCTTGCTACTTATCTCCAGGTTGACTAATAAAACCATAGACCCATGTTTGTTGTGAGGTAAATTTCTGTCCTAGCAATTGCTAGGGTACAAATGTACTGCTTGAGCTTCCCTTCTGCAATTGTATCCTGACAGTCACATTCTAATCACCTGCAATTGCATCCTAACAATCTCCCCCACCTTTGTTAATGGCTAACACTGCCACTAATAAAATATACAAACTCTGAATGGGAAGAGGATACTTATAAGTTAGAAATTAAACCTGTGTATATTCTTTATATGTATGAAAGGAAGTGAATTAATGAGCATCATTAATAACTAACACTGTTATATAGTGTTGGCCTTCATTTTAAACCAACTTTCCATAAAAACATAAATGTCTCTGCAATACATGTGTGTAAAGAGCTAACACTTACAACTTTTAAATCCAACTATTCCTTTCTAAAGGAGAAGTGCAGAGGCCTAGACTCAAGTGATCTGCCATATGTAGAGCATCTGGGGAGATCTTTTTACCTCCCAAGCCTTTGGATGATACTTTCTGAATGACAGGTTTACAAAGATTTTGCTAAGGTTTAATATTTTATTTTTAATTCCTGTTGCCATCTGAGGATGCATTCTGTTTTTACACAACACTTTAAATAACATGTTGTTTCACTTACAATAATAGTAAAAATTATAGGTAGCATGGAAAAGGTTTATGTGTAGAAATAATTTCAAATTGTCTCCAGATCTTAGTTGTTGCCCATAGGATACATAATTGGAAAATCACAATTGTGTTTGGCCTCAAAGCCACTGCATTTTGTTAATTTCCCATAAAAGTTTAGTTCATCTTTTACTTGAAAATGATTATTAATTTCGTTATGGTTGTATGTTTGTTTTGGAAGATGGATAGAAAAACAATTTCTATTTTTTTACATCCCTGTTTTGTACCGACACTGAGCTTGACAGTTTTCATAACATGGCTCATTTAATCCCTTCAATGTATGAATTATTTGTCATTAGCCCATTTTTATAGACAAGGAAGCAGAGACTCAAAGAAGTTACAAATTTTATAGATTATCCAGATACTGGATAGGGAATGTAATATGCTCCCAGATGGCCAAAGGAAGTTAAAATAGCATACACTTAACTGGAGGAAATGAAAAAACAATTGCATTACCTTTATGAATCAGTAAATACCAAGAAATAACAGTCACTCTGGAATTCAGAGATTTCAATCACCTAATTCTCTTTTTATTGTTGTAGTTATGTCCGTAGAGTCAGTTCTGACTTATAGCGACCCTGTACAGGGTTTCTGAGGCTGTAAATCTTTACGGGAGCGGAAAGCCTCATCTTTCTCCTGTGGAACAGCTGGTAGTTTCGAACTGCTGATCTTGCGGTTCACAGCCCGATTAGTAACCACTATGCTACCAGAGCTCCTTCTCTTTAGAGTAAATAAATTACAATTATTACTATTCTCATAAGTAAAACTTGTTGGTAAGTGCCATCGAGTCGGTTCCAACCCACAGTAACTCTGTATAGGGTTTTCTGAGGAGCAGCTGGTGAGCTTGAACTGCCAACCTTGCACTTCAAACAGCTTTGCAGTCTGGAACTTTAACCTACAGCACCACACCTGGACTCCGTAAGTAAAGCAAATGAGTATATAACAAAGTAAACTGAATAGGCATCTTTTCTTATTTATTATTACAAAAAGGTAAACAACAACAACAACAAAGTGCTTATGGTGTACCATTCAAATCCATCAGCTTTACCTAGTTTCTATGAGTTTCCCCTTAAGGTTATCAGTCCCATCATCCCCATCCAAAAACGGTCACATGAACGAACGCAAGGTGAAGAAAACATTTCGAATAGCTCAGATAGAGGCAAATATAAA